CTCTTTTTTTCTTTCTTTAGATTCTACATATGAGTGATATCATATGATATTTTTCTTTCTCTTTCTGGCTTACTTCACTTAGAATGATGATCCCTAGGTCAATTCATGTTACTGCAAATGGCATTATTCTTTTTTATTGCTCAGTAGTATTCTACTGTATAACTATGCCACAACTTCTTTATCCAGTCATCTATCGATGGACATTTAGATTGTTTCCATGTCTTGGCTATTGTATATAATGCTGCTATGAACATTGGAGTGCATGTATCTTTTTGAATTAAAGTTCCCTCTGGATATATGCCCAGAAGTGGGATTGCTGGATTATAGGGTAAGTCTATTTTTAGTGTTCTGAGGAATCTCCATTCTGTTTTTCATAATGGCTGCACCAAACTGCATTCCCACCAACAGTGTAGGATGGTTCCCTTTTCTCCATACTCCTGGAGATATGTTGGGTTTTTTTTTTTGGCGGGGGAAGGTAATTAGGTTTATTTGTTATTTTGTTGTTGTTGTTGTTTTGTTTTTTTGAGGAGGTACTGGGATTGAACCCAGGACCTTGTGCATGCTGTGCATGACGTGCATGCTAAGCATGCACTCTACCGCTTGTGCTATACCCTCCCCCCTGGAGATATATATTTTATTTTAGATTTCTCTGCATCTTCAGTGCCATTTGGGTTTGTACTTAGTAAGTATTCAATATGTTTTTGGTTAGACTGAATTAAAAGCACATATATTTACTTATATATTTATCAATTATATATATTTATATATACTTATATAAGTCATATATACTTATATAACATATATTTATATTTATTTATAACTATGTTCTACTTATATATTTATAACTGTGTTCTATGTGCCCAGCATTCTTTGAGGCTCTGTGGTGTACACAAAAGGGCATAAAAGAAATACTTATTGCCTTCAAAAACTTAAAATTTTATAGTGAGTTGAAGTCAACATATAATTAAAGTACTTAAGTACAGCATGGTAACTGCTATAAGAAAGGTATGAAGTGCTATGAGGATTCAGAGGACAGAGAGATGAAAGCTCTTAGGGGTGTTGGGGAGAACGGGATAAAGAAAGGTTTCTTGGAAGAGATGGGCTTTGAGATTGATTTTTTAAGATTTTGACGGGCAAAAATGGGGGCTCAGGGGACAGGATTAGTGAAGAGATCAGTAGAGACTGTGGCAATGAACACTAAGGCTCAGAAATGGGACCAAGTCTCTCTTAAACCGGAGATCAAAAATATGGTTCTGTCTCAAGGACACTGAAGAACAACCTTGTTTCAAATTTCAGGACTAATGCAAGGAATGGTATACAGGGGTTGAAACTAACATGCCTCAACCAGACTATGTTCCCCAAGTGTAGCTTCTTTGGAGGCTGAGACTTATTTGCAGTTGTTCTTTTTCCTCTAATAATATGGGCTTGCCTACAGTCTGACATGGTAGTGGACATAAAGCAAAAGACCCCTTTCCTCTTCTTGGGGACAGAGGACTGGTTGGATTATGTCCAGTCTCTCTTTTTCTAAACCCAAATCAAATTGCATGTGTTACTTATGGTTTTCTAACCTTGCCTTAGATTAGTGGTTCTTTTGTTGTTAAATAATTTGCCTTAGATCATTTCTCAGGAAAGTTGGAAGCATTTTTTGTAGAATTATTTCAACAGTCAGCCTTAGCTCAACTCTGTGCCTTTCATTGCCAAACTGAACCCTAGTTAGAAGACCTAAATTAGGAGTGAGTCTGTGGAGGGGGTCAGATCACTGCCTGCCTGCTCCTCTTTAATGCTCTTTAATCTGTCCACTAGTTCGCGGATTAACAATTTTAGAAGGCCCTTCCCCCTCATCCTCAGTTACTTTCCTTCTGCAACACCAAGGGACGGTTCCCCAGAATTTAAAAATCATTACCTAAGGAATAAAATCACGATAGACAAAACCGACACTTCCTCAGTTTTCAAGGGCCAGGTGCATCCGCAAAGAGAAGCACGAGATTTTAAATTTCAAGCAAGCGGTTTGAAGGACCTTCGAGCCCAGAGGCCCCTGAAGGGAGGGAGGCGGTTTCCACGGCAACCGAGCCCGGGAGCGGTTGGCTCCCCCGGCTCCCTCCTCCTCCTCCTCCTGGTAGCCCCGGGTACCGCCGGACAGCGTCCTCCCGTGCTCCGCGCCCTGATTGGCCGCACAAGCCGCGCGCCGATTGGCTGCGGCGAAGCCTCGCGCGCCGGTGGCTATGGAGGCGGCGGCAGTTGATGGTTGACCGTTGGCTCCGGGGTAGGGGTCGCCGCTCGGGCGATTCGCTCAAACCCGACCAGAGAGCGTGGACAGCTGACGCTCGGCCTGGAGCCCGCGGGCGAGACCTAGCTGGGTTCCGCCATGCGGGCCGGGAGTAACGAGCCGGACGGCGTCCTCAGCTATCAGGTAGGGCCCCGCCTCCCGCCCCTCCCCGGGGCTCAGCCTTCTCGTCCTCTGCCCACCCTCTTTCCTCTGCCCCCGAGCCGGGGCGCCACAGGCCACTCCCTGAGGGCGATGGGAGGCCAGCCCGGGACACCAGGGGGCGCTCCGGGCGGTCGGGGATTGGGTCGGGGCTGCGAGAGGGTGACCTTGGGCCGAACCCGAGAGCCGGTGGGTCACTGCCGCATCCCTTGCGTGGCGGGCTGAGGAGCCCTGACGGCCCGCGGCCGGTGACCTCTGTTCTCCTGGGGTCCTCCTTGCTGGGAAAGAGGCTGGCTTCTGGCCTTGCTGTGTCCTGCTGGGACGTGGGAGAAAGGGTAGCCAGGGACCTTGCTCTGGAGGGGCAGGTCTCCTCTTTGTGTTTTTATTTCTGGGAATTTCTGGTTCCTCACTGTCTCAGAGGAAGAGCTGGAAAGACTGCAGGCTGGGACCAAACCCTAAACCCTGTTAGTGTGATCAGCTTCCGTCCATCCCATTACACAGACAACTGACAAGTTCTGGATAGGAAAGTGGAAAGGGGTAGGGAAGTGTCGAGGGGTCAGTCACAGGTGTTTATTTAAAGGAATGCGTAAACCAGGTTTAAGTAACTGGTAACCCAGCTGTTGGAGTGGCTAATGTAAGGTAAAGCACTGGACTAGGTGTCAGAGACTGTAGGTTCAAATCCTACATCTGCCTCATACAGGCTTTGTGACCTCAGGTTAAGTTACTTGCCTCTTTGAACTACGATCTCCCCATCTAGTAAAATGGGGATGATCATATCTGTTTTGCTTACCTCATAGGGTGATTTTGAGGACAAAATGAAGTGCTTCTTGTGAAAGGGCTTTGTGAAATGATGTTTATTGTGTGGCAACCAGTATGTGGTCGCCCACTGAATTCTCACTCTCCCTTTTCTGTGCCCATCAGATGATGATATAGTTGCTGCTCTGGAAAGAGGTGTTGAAGGGAGGTTGAGTCTGGAGTGGTGGGCAGTGAAAGAATGGTGGAGCTTCTCAGAAGGATGGTAGATTTTGAAACAAGTGCCATGTTGACGTCAGGCTGGATTCTGTAAAGAGGCAGAGAAAACTCTTGAGTTTGTAGCAAAATGGGTATCAGACACTGAGTCACTCCTCTTCTTCCTGGTAATAGTTTGCTACTAGAAAATCCATAATTCCTTCTTTGCTTGCTCCATCAAAATAAGAACCAGATCTAAGATTTTGGAAAATCTTTCCATATCTAATCCTCCTAAGGTCTACTAAGTATTCAATCTGTATTTGTGGTACAATGATGAGCAAAGAAAGATAGACAATGTTCTTACCCTGCTGAGTTTCCCATTCAGTGTGTGCATGTGTGTGTGTGAATAATCATTTTTGATCAAGTAATCATGCAAATAAATGTGTTATTGTAAACTGTGATAAGTGCTTAGAAAGAAAGATATGCAGTGCTGTGTGTATGTATCACAGTGGTTCCAGCTTTGGTCTCAGAACAGAGAAGATTTTGCTAAGGAAAAAATTTGGGCCAAGATTTAAAGAATAAATGTCAACTGAAGGAAGAGAGAGCTCAAAGGGCCTGGAGATAAAGAGAACAGCAGAAGAGAGGCAGATCTGGTTAGAAGACCTGAAAGAAGGCCAGTGTAGCTGGAGCCACAGGGAGCAATGAGGGGAATGGTGTGAGATGTGCTCTGGGGTTATAACATGCAGAGAGAGACAGAGAGACCGAGAGAGAATGAGAGCCAATGAGATCATGGTCAGACTCTCCTGAAAGCTTTCTCTGGCTGCAGTGGGGAGAACAGGCTGGAATGAATGTGAGGAGACAGTGTCCTTAACATGCAGAATGTATTCCAGTTGTATTGTCAAGACCATAATAACCCCCAGACTCCTGTGAATGCTCTGTGAAACTGATAATTCCTGAGTGCTTCTGGAGTAGGGTAGAAAATAATTCTCTCTTCTACATCCAGTTCATGAAAGTTCCTTGGGTGGTGGGGTGAGGAGAGATGAAAGGAGAGAGTGGAAACATAAAGGCTGAGTCAGGTGATGGGCAAATGGGTACTTGAGATATAGGGAGGAAAAGAAATAAGGGTAGAAGGAGGAAGTGAGACAGGGGTGACTTGGGGGAGACACAATCATCTCATTGAAAATTACTAACTAATCCTCCTATGTGCCAACTGGGCTGTGTGGAGGGGAGACGGACCTTGCAAACAGAGCAGATTGTGTAACTTAATGCAGAGATTCCAGGCATCACATTTAAATGTCCTAAGTCTCTGCTGTTTTCTCTGGTTTGGGCTGCTGTGCTAGCTCTTAACGGTTCCCTCCGCTTTCTCTCTTGCTCTTCCTTCTACAGTCCACTTTCCACGTGGCAGCCAGAGAGAGCTTTTCAAAACACAAATCAGATCATGGCATATTCTATCTTGAAAACATTCAGTGGCTTCCCAGTACATTTTAGAATAAAATCCAAACTCCTTATCGTGGCCTGCCAAGCTTTCATGTGATCAGGGCCCTGCCCACCCTCCCCAATGGCCTCTCCTCCACTCCCTCACCACGCACTCCTGCACTGGTGATCTTCCTGTTTCTTCAGTACGGCAGGCTCCTCCATGCCTCAGAACCCTTGTTCTTGTCATTCCTATGGGCGTTTTCCACCTAGGCCTTCTCCTGACTCAACTCACATGTCACATCTTCAGTGGCTTCCTTGACCTTCATTCACAGTCACTATATTTCATGTGATTCTGTTTTATTTTCTTCGTAGCATATGACTTATCTGAAGTGTTCTTGCTTTGATTTCTTGTTTAGTGTCTTTTCAAATAGAAAGCAGGGGCCAGGCAGAAAATCTTGTCCTCTAGCACAGTGCCTGGTATAGGAGAAGTGCTCAGTTGCTGAGCGAATGAATGACTCTCCTGTATCCAAAGCCAATGTGCCTCTCCTTAAGGAGCTCATGGTTTTGTCAGTTTTAGCACAGAGCCTCAGATGGCCATTGCTTTACTACACAGAAGCTCTTCCTTCTATACCACTGGGCCTTTGCTCAGGTCTTCTAACTGGAAAACTTTCCCCCTCCTCCCCACCTAAAATATCCATTTTAACCTTTAAGGTTTGGCTCCATATCACCATCAGAATTTATCACTTAGTACCCCAGAAACTAACACAACATTCCAAGTCAACTGTATTTCAATAAAAAAATTTCACTCAATCTTTTCTGCTCACAGCACCTACCAAGTTCTTCCACCCCTTACTTGTGGAATATACATGCTCATCTCTGTTGTTGACCTGACAGCTCCCTTTGACGTGGTTTATGTGAGCTAACTTTTATCGAGTGCTTGCCATGTGCAAGGTACAGTGCCAGGTGCTTTCCATGCACTTCTCCTTTAATTCTCTCAGTAATCTTGAGAATTACATGCCCTTATTATCTTTATTTTCAAAAATAAGGAAACCAAGATGTAGAGGTTAAGTAACTTCTAGTAAATGGCAGAGCTGCCCATCTCCAAAAAAACGTGCCCTTAATCACTATGTAGCGTGTGTCTTTGACACCTCGGCCAGTGCCTGGCTCAGAATGAGGACTTATAAGTGTTTGGGAAGATGTGTGTGGCAGAGTGTACAAGGATGTATTAGAGTGGGAAGAGACTGGAATGAGGGAAGCCAGCTAGGAGGCTGTTGGTGTAATTTAGGATGAGTTAATGAAGGCCTGAGTTATTGAATTTTGACAAGGTCTCTGGAGGTGGTTATTGCAATTTTAGGAGTCGGTGAGCTCTTAAAGGGAATAGCAGTAAAGGAGAAAGATCAGAAAACTTGAAGGAGGGCCCCTAATTTCGACTGGAACTGGGGACATCTTATAGCTTCAAATTTCTCCTGACCAACACTTTCAGAACTGAGCAGAAGTTCTGGAAGAGAAGGCTGGAGAGATTGTAACAGTCAGCATTGAGCCAAGTGGTGCTGGGAACTGCAGGGAGGTTCAGAGAAGGTGCAGAGCGGGGAGCAAGTGAATTCGGGCAATTACCAAGGCTTGTATAGGAATCAGGCCTGCTCAGAATAGGAAATTTTGCAGAAATCTTCAGAACAACAAACACCTGGTAAATGGGTGATCATTGGGATGCTTGGTGGATGGCAAGAGAGTCACACTTCACGTCTTAAAGTGGATCTAGAAAAACTCAAGAGTCCTGAAGGAGACCTGAATGCTAGTGCTCGGTGACCTTGGCCCATGTTGGTGCTCAGTAAATATTTGCCGAGTGAGTGAATGAATGGCTCCGTAGAGAGTGGGCCAGCTTTTCTGAAGGTCATGATCAGTTCATGGGGAGCAGTCAGCATATGTTTGCTGAGTGTCACTGAACAAAAGTATCACCCATAGCAGTTTCTCCTCTCACTGTGTTGCAGTGTGCAATCCGACTCCTCCATCCTCTCCCAACACATACTAGACCTTAAACGTACCCTGAGTGGAAATTGGGGAACACGTAAGTATTCTCTTTACCTGGCCTTACCAGCTTTACTGGGGAGCTTCAGTAGGAGAGGTGGGGACTTTCCTGCCAAGCAGAGAATTGAGGCGGACTGGGGACAATTCAGGTTGCAAATGGACTTCCTTCTGAACTTGTAGATAATTGTCTTAGCTCATGGTTTGCCTTGGCAGGGTAGACTGGGCTTCCAGTGAAGCCTGCCACAGTGGTAAATCAGGCCCCGGAAAAGCAAGGTGTTTATTCTAAATCTGCTGCTAGGTAACAGCAGCAAATGTTAGATAATGGAGAGGTTGGTTGGTTCCTGGATGGTAGTAACAAGTTTACTCTGGTCTTGGTAGTTAGGAAGCCATAATGTCTGTATTAGTGTCTATTGGTGCCATAACAAATGAGCACAAATTAATTGGCTTAAACAGCACACATTGATCATCTTACAGTTCTGCCGTTCAGAAGTCCAGCACAAATTGCACTGTGCTAAAATCAAAGTGTTGGCAGGGCTGTGTTTCTTTCTGGAGGCTCTAAGAGAGTATCTGTTTCCTTAACTTCTTCAGCTTCACGA